GGTTAATTAATCAATGAAAAATTTTCAATACCCAATTAACCGGATAATTGGTGAATAATTGGTGAATATCATTCGGCAGATACAACCACTAGAACAGAAAGGATAATTTGGATAATATCTTTGATAAGATTTAACTAACAATATCTAGCATATAAAAAAATAAAAATAAAAATATTAATATTAATATTTAATTTATAAATTATTTTAAAAAAAAAGATATAAATAAAATTTACCATTGACTTTGATAAACTTGTCAGAATATTAAATGTTTGACTGGCTAAAAAGTTATTCTTTAATGTTACAATATTATAATATTTTTCAAATGCTGATATTGTTTGTATATGATGTTTCCACATATAAAGAAAATAGTAACTTGTTAATGCCATTTGACATCATTCAAGATGTGAAATGTTACGATTGAGATAAGAATCAGTTAACTCCCCTAAAAATAATATAACTTAGTTATATTTAGTTATCCTTATAAATAATATATAAATAATGAATGGGTTGGAGTTTTTACCTATTACAAAAAGATAAATAAAAAGTCCAAATTTATTTTTATCCATAGGTTTATTTTGATCAAAAACTTGTGAGAGAAATGAAGAACAAAATATCCTATAAGAGGCACCATCATCTTGACGGTCTGTCTTTAAAACATCCCTTTTATACAACACACTGTTTTCATTTTGGCTTAATTCCAATACTTGATTGTATCTTACAGTGCAACTTCCCATTGAAAGTAATCGTGCACCAGAAAATATAGAATTTCTAGCACTCTTTTTTGCATGTAATGGATCTTGCAAAGCAACTATTGGACCAACATCCTCAATGATTGGACAAGAAAATATCATATTTCTATTAAAATCACTATATTCAATTGTTTCATTACTATTCATTTGCATTAATAAATTTTGTGCCCCAAACTCTGATGAAGCTCCATCAGCACCCAAGGATAAAATATTGATTTTTAGTTGAGAAGCATACTTTAACAAATCATTATGTAATTGAAAAATATCTTTAGCATTATCTTTTGATTTATTGGGAATCAATGCTATAACAAAAGGTGGTGTTTTGGGTATTGGAATCTAAATATATAAAATTTTAAAAATTAATTTTTACAAAAAAAAAAAATTATTTAAGCAAAAATAAAATAAACTAAACATACTTGTAATAGGTATACTCTGACTTGGGTAGCAATAGCATTATTATCTTTGATTTTTTGAATAATTGAATAACAGTCTTCAACTTGAACAACTTTTGTCTCTGAGAAAGGTAAAACTGAACCAACAATACAACCCAGTAAAGGTGAATATCCAAGTTTTTCTTTTATTTTAGTATTATCAGTCATAGCAGCTATTGGACCTTTATAATTTAGATTATCTGCAAAATTGCAAAATTCTTAAATCTTGCCAGATTTTCATAACATAAATTAGGATTATTAAAGATAGTTTCTGATTTTGATCTGGTTAATCTTTAAAGAAATAGAAGAATCAATATTAATCAAATAATTTAATTAAAAAAATAACTTTACCTAATGTTTCTTAGAGTCTGTCCAACTAAACATTGCCTAAAAAATTCATATGCCTGTGGACTTAATAATGACAATACTGTGGTGAAATGTGTAAATTGTTCAGTATAAGACAAGTTATTTAGTTTCTTGTTGGATTCTTTTCGTTTCATCATCTGCATCATTATCTCACATAATCCTCTAAATATTTCATTTTGTTGAAATGACCTTTTTGACCTTTTTCAGCTAACCTTACCCAAAATGCATTCTGTTCATTTTCTTGACTATTAAGAATCAAAGAGTAAACCTCATATATTACTGAATTGTTCAAATATCTTAACAGTGGATTTTTTTTTAACAAATGTTTAGGCATATATCGTCTATTTTTTTTTTCAGGAATTTTTTTAGATAATGCATTCTAAAAATAAACGCTAAATATTAGCCAAAATAATAAAAGTATATGTAGATATTTATAAATTACTACTTTACCTTAAAAACTTTGTTTCTTTTCAAACTGTTACAATTGTCACATAAATTAGAGGAATTGATGGTTGATCTTTCACAGTTAATGCTTCTGATGCATTGAGTATCTGATTCTATCTCAACTTTCCATTTAGCATTTGCTTTTAAAATACTATCCAACTTATTTAGTTGATCATTACTTAACCTTTTTCTTGAAAATTTATTATTAATAGTAAATATATTAGGAAAAAGTTTTTTTGCAACAACTTCAATTCTTGGAGCACCTCCATATTCAATAAATCCACCAATTCTTTCAATATAAGTTTTGTGGATGTTTTCACGTAAACCAATACAAACAAAAGGTTGTCTTGTTTTACTTTTATCATTCTTTGATTTAATATTTCCAAAAAAATTTAAAATTGGCTGATCATTCTCTTTTATGTTACAACCTTTACCATTACTATGAATTAAAAAGTACTTCAAATCATATTTATGCTTGAGTGTTATAACTTTATTACAAACACATTTCACTTTCAGTGGTGTAATAATTTCTGAAATCTTTGGATGTTTCTCTAATGATAATTTCTAAATACACAGTATGATTAATATAATAAAAAATTTTTTTTCACATAAATAAATATCTTAGATTTTTACCTTCTGAAATAAATTACGATTTCTGTTAAATTTTTTTGACTCAACTTTATTTTTTGATATGCTTGCCTCATCAGAAGTTTCATAATCATCAGATTTGTAGTAATCATCTGACATTATGTGATGATGGGATAAACTATTTTCTTCAGATACATCTTTTTCTGCTGATTTACTACTATCAATATCATTGCACATATCATTATCATTACCATTATCATAATTTTCATAATTTTCATCAGATGAACTAGTCTCATCAATCATCATATAATTTTCTGATTTGTAATATTCACTACTTAATGGCTCTTTATTTAATCTATCATCTTCTTGCAAACCAGGATTATCTAAATTTATATTTGACTAAAAAAAAAAATAATGTTTTAAAAATAATATTATAATAATAATACTTTAATTAGAATTGTCTTTCAAAACTCATTTAATTAGAGTTTAGAAATTTTGGAACTAACCAATCAGCTATATAGAGTTTTGAAAGACAACTCTAATTTTAATAATAACAAAAATATGACATCAATTAATTAATTTCACATTACCTCATCATATTGAAAGCAGGCAACAAAATGATTAGGAGAAGGAAACTTTGTGTGTGAATCCCAGAGAGATAAGTCTGTAACACTCCAAAGTATAAAGATTTCTTCATTACATCTTCTAGATTCTGGCCTTGGATTAATAATAGAATTAAATATTTCTTTTAAAAATTTAATGCTGGTTGGAGGATAAATAGATTGAATGGGATGTCCAACAACTGATGCCAATCCATAAACTGCAACCATTGAACAAAATGAATGGTTTTGTGAAATTGATCTTAATTCATTAATAAATTCACCTTTGTTATATTTTATATTTGTATTATGTAGAGTAAAATCACTATTAATTGAATAATCAGAATATATATAATCTTGTTCAAATAATCTTATTGATAAATAAAACTCATAATTAGCCATCAATTCTAACAATGTTGCAAGATGAAAATGAGCAGAGTATTCTTCTGAAGCTGTGTAGATAAAAGATAAAGAATTCATCAAACAATTTCCATTGCCTTTAATTTTTGCAGGCAAAAGATGATTAAAATCTATGGGAAGTAATTTTAAAGAAATTTTATCTATTTTTCCATTTTCTGGAAAATATTTTATTGGTGTATCTAAATTAAAATCAAATATTTTGAGGTTATTATATGTTGCAGCCAATTCAGCTATATTTATTAAATTTACATTTGAACTAAGGAATTTTTCCAAGTCTTTTAAAATGCTTCTTGCATGTAAAGAATCCATTGTGCAAAAAGATTTTTGTTTTAAAAAATTTCCTTGATTTGAAATTAGCCAATCAAACAAATACGGGGGGGGGGGGGGTTTGGACGCGAAATTCTTTTAATGTGGGGGTGTAACGTCATACATTAGTTATTTTCTGCAGATAGTTTCTAAATTTGTAGAAATCTGCATTGGTCACACGCCAAAATTTATAAGTTCTTTACCCATAATCTCATATGACTTTTAAAAAACTTTACCCGGGATTTTCATATGACTTATAATAATTGATTTTTTGCTATACCCACAAATAGTCATACCACATATGTGAACCTTTACCCGGAATTTTTCATATGACTTAAGCAAAATTTTCCCAAAACTTTACCCACTTAAGGACCTACCACATCAATTAGAATTATCCGGGGGCCTCTTACCCCTAGGCACTACCGTTTCATTTTTAAATCCCTGATTGATCATCATCGCCTTTTTTAGCAAATTTTAAGTTGTACAGGAAATATTCCGCAGAGCATATCCTTTTTTTTAATGTAAAAGATTTCTTTATATTTGAAAAAAAATTTTATATTTGGTTTAGTGTTAGCAGTTTTTTTTTAATACCCCCCCCCATGTGTGGAATATGACATGATGAACAATCAATAGTTGATTTGATCATGATAATAAAAAAAATTTAACAAACTTCTTTTGTTATTTTCAAGACAAAAAAGAGAAATTTCAATGTATAAAAACAAATTTATCATTTTTTCGATAAGGTTAATTATAATTAATTAATGTTTTGAGCTTTGTTTATTTTAAATATTTTGATTCCTAATAGTGCTAAAATTAACAATTGATTTTAGATTCTACTTTTTTTTGTTGAAGACATTAAAAAAAATTGGTTGTTCTGAATCATTCTGCTTTCCTCCTATGAATGAATTATTGTAGTTAGTGGCAGAAAATTATTTCAAATTAATAATAATAATAAAATAAAAAATAATCATAGATTTTATTTGTTAACAGAAATAAAAATTTTAACTACTTTCTAAATTTCGTGATAATAATGATATTAATAATAATAATAATAATAAAAAGTAATCATAGACTCATTTGTTGATAGCAAATTTAATAATAAAAAAGAAAGTTTTTGTGTTTTTTTTTTGATATAAGTCAGAATTAATTATTAATAAACTGTTTTTTTAAAAAAAAAATGTATTGTGTTCATTAAAAGTGTAAGTGGTGAAAAATTCTATACAGGCATTGCATATAGTAGAATGTACAATGAGGAATTCATCAAAGTTAATTTCAAAGAGTTTGGAAGTAATAATGAGACAATGGTTTAAGAGATAAAGGGATACTTGATCGTGATGATGACCTGGAAGTTTTCTTTAGTCCTTAAAACCCACAGTGTAAAGGACATCTTAAACAATCTAACACATCTTCATTATAGTTTAGAGCAGGGTTGGCGAATGTGTGGTCCATTGGTGGTCCATTGGGTCCATTAGTGTAACATTTAGTATTTTATTAATGGTAATGGACCAGCTCAAAGTCCATCAGTTCTCAATGGACCAGTCAATTTGCCAACCCTGGTTTAGAGATGGTGACAAAGATGGTGGAGAAGATGATGATTGTAATACCTATAATATAAGCAAAAGTTAAATAAATGTCATAACATCAGACTGGTACAAAGAATTTAGTTTAACTTACAAGCTTATTTTTGTTGTGCTTCCTTGGTGGGGACCCCACATTATAATCAACATTCCTCCTCTTTCTATTACTATGTTGCAGGACTGGAGAGTCTGAACCTTCTGAGGAGGTACTATTATTTTCACTCAAACCTTCTTCCCAAAGTTGTTCTGGTTCGTTATCTGTAATAGCACCTGAATGATTATTGTGGTTGTGATTGTGATGATTATGATTGTTGTTACTATTATTACTATTACTATTATTGCTGTTGCCATTGTTATTGCAGGGTTGGCGAATGTGTGGTCCATTGATGGTCCATTGGGTCCATTAATGTAACATTTTAACTGTATTTAATATTTTATTAATGGCCAATGGACCAGCTCAAAGTCCATCAGTTCTCAATGGACCAGTTAATTTGCCAACCCTGTGTTATTGTTTAATTGCCTAGTGGTTGATTGGTGATTGGAGGGAGCTGTTGTTGGCCTAGTTAATATTTCAGACCTTGATCTTGACATTTCACTCCCACCATCACTATTACTTCCATTATTACTAATATTACCAGTGCTAGTATTTTTAACAACATTATTTAAACCACTTGAGGAAGTACCAACAATATTATTACTATTATCATCATTGGCATTATTGTCATTATTATTGTTATAATTGTCATTATTATTTTCATCACCATCATTGTTACCATTACTACTACCATCACCACCACTAGGAGATAATAATATTCAATATATTTTTTAAAGAATTCTTTAGTGAATCTATGGCCTCTTCTTCTATATACATAACTTCTTTGATCTTTTCAGGAGCTAAATTAAAAAAAGATCCCAATTCTATTAGAATATCTCTTGTAAAAGTTGAAATGACATAATCCTTCAATCAAAAAAAAAAAAAAAAAACAAATTCATTTAAGAAAATAATTAAAACAACAACGTATTAAAAGAATATGATTTACTTATGTTTCCACTGGTAGAATTTTGTGAATTTAATATTTGAAAAATAAATGTAAACTTACATTTAGATCAGACAAGACTTTTCATTTAAAAAACTAGAGTAATGACAAGTGGTGGGCAATAACCACTACCACCATCCTTAAAACGCTTACTCATTAAGAGCATCAGCATTATTTTCTCTGCTTCTTTTTCTGATTGAAAAAGACATTTTTTTTTTAAAAAAGTTTGTTATTTGATCGACGTGTACACATTAATTATTTATCCTATTGGTTTTTTTTTTTGGTAGGACAG